AATGTGATATTATCAAGAGTTGGAATTAGTTTCATATCAGCCAATAATGCATGTAGAAATGCGGAAATGGAAGTTGGAGAAGGATGGGATTTTGAAAAGGTCAGAAAGGAGGCCGAAGAGAAATGGGAGATTGAGCTCGAAAAAATAGCGATCCAAGGAGGTAGCGATAAGAACAAGAAAATTTTTTACAGTGGATTATATAGGAGCATGATTCTTCCGAGTGATCGGTATTTCTATTTTTTGATGGTCATGTTCACTTTTTAGAGCATTTTATTAAATTATTCAAATATATTTAGAACCGGGGAAAATCCGAGATGGAGATCTTATGATAGCGGAGGAAATCTTATACCTTATTATGATGATATCTTTACTTTGGTATGTGCTTTTCCTTTTTTTTTTTTTGAATTTCGGAGCATATGTTAAGGGACATGGGCTGATTGTTTTGAATAATTTAATTTCGAATTGAAAAAAAATCATATTCAGTGGAGTGCATTCAGGTGAATCAACTTTTTTTAATTTGATTGTCTCGTCTTGATTCGTTTTTTCTTTCTATTTCGAATAATAACATCTCAAATTAATTAAGAACGACAATTCCATTATACACGTTAATTCAACAAAAGAGAGTGGTGGATATTGCAAGATCTTTGATCGATATCTATGAAAATGAAGGATTCATGCCGGATGGCAGAAGTGGAATGTATAATAGTATTGCGAGGGGCGGATCGAATGGGGACTTGGTATTGGTATGTACTAAAAGTTGCATTGTATTCTTATTTTGGTTTTTGGTTTTTACATAACAATAATAACGTTTAATATACATTATGTGTTCTATCCATTAAAGTCCGAGTTATTTCTTAAAAATCTTGGAAAAGGCAAAATTGACTGGAACCTTGGTTACAAGGCGATGTTAAAAAATGCGCTTGCTGAACCATGGTCACGAGGATCAAATGAAGGACGAATGTTCTTAAGGTTTTATAAGGAATATGGATACCTGCCCTTAATGAAATCCTTCGAAAATTGGAATAGATACAGGGACCAAGGAATGTGCAGTAAGACAATGGAGTATACAACCAATGATTTTGCGATTGCGTGCGTTGCAAAAGGTATTAACAAAATATTGCATTAATATGAAAACCTATTCGTTTGGCGTTTTATTTATTCTAAAATTTACAATATTTATACGCTTTACATAAGGTTTAAAGAAGAAAGATGATTACGAAAGATTTATACAACGTTCCAACTATTGGCGATATTTATGGGACTCTAATACGACTGTTGATGGTAAATAATTTCTTTTGTAAATGCCCTAAACAATTTATAAAATCTTAATGATTTTTATTTGACTCTTTAGGTGTCCAGGGATTTATAAGACCAATACATTGGGGTGAGAGGGATAAGTCATTGTTTGGTGTTTTTAGAACATCAACGTATACCGATTTTTATGAAGGTTCATTTTGGGAATACAGCTTAAATGTCCCACATGGTGCGTTGCTTTTTAAAATTTTCGCCGACTTGAATGAGTGTGTTTATTTATCGAAGTAAAAATTTATCTGTCAGATGTAAACATGCTTATTAAGTACGCACGTGGTCCAAGAGAATTCGAAAAAAGATTGGATACCACTTTCTCAAACAAAGGATACAACAATAATTACTTTAGCATCCAACACATTCCAAGTTTATTTCACCCTAATCTATATCATTACATTGGAAAACAATATAAAAGCGTGCAAGTTATCAGAGATATAATGAAAAAGAAGTTCGGAACTGGGAAAAATGGGTTGCCTGGTATGTGAATTAGACGTTGGTTGATTCATTCCAACTTCAATTTCGACCCTCTAATATTCCTCCTTTCTACTCTATAGGTCATGATGAGTCTGGAGTTTATAGTTGCTGGTATATTTTCAATGCTATTGGGATATATCCAATGTAAGATTTAAGTTCGAGTTTCATTATTTAAGTCACATTTGTTATTTTTCTTAATCAGTTTGATTCTCATTACATCATATCTAATATGGTACATTTAAAACCTCTCTGTTATTCTAGTGGTGGACAAGACATATACCTAATAAATTCACCACATTTCACAAACACCACAATTTACCTTTCGCCGACCATAACCTTTTCAATACTGGCAAATAATCTCAATAGTCAGAACATCTATATTCAATCAGCGAAACTGAATGGAAGGGACTTGAAAAATACCTGGTTTAGGCACGGCGATATTTCCAAAGGTGGTATCCTGGAATTGGAAATGGGCAATGAAATTTCAAAGGTTTGGGGAGTTTTAAGCGAAGATACAAGTGATGCTAAAGAATGGTTTGGCAAGAGTAAAATCGTTGCACCGCCCAGTGCTTCCGATTAATAATTTATAAGCACGGTTAGATGATTAATTATTATAATTTTATTATATGTATAACATTTTATTTATTTGATTTTTCATGATGGTACAATAACAATTTGCATATGCATATTTTTGATGGATTTAAACTAATCTCTTGAGCAAAACGGCTGTTTCTAAAGATTTTGTCTTAGAATTTAGAATTTCAAATCTCAATAACATAGATTTTTATTTGCTCATATTCATTAACATTTGATGTTTTTGTCCTTGAAAATTTTGTATAAATTCAATATCGATACATGACAAAATATATATATTTTTGGTAGTAAAATCATGAACTAAAATAAGCGTCATTTACAATATTCAAATCATTTATTTTATTAAAAAATTTTTTAACAATGCAATAATTATGTATACAGTATATAGGCATAGCTACAGTACTATCATTTTTTTACAATAAATTATTCTAACTTTAATTATTGACTTGATATTTTGAATTTTTCATATACAGTATATTGTAATATTAAACGTTTTTAGAATTTTATTTATTTATTATTTAAATTAAAATAATTAAACTAATAAGTTGAAATAATATTCCAATATAAAAATACAATATTGAATAGAAATAATTATAATAAATAATATTATTCTTATTTTATTTTATTTTATAATTAAATTATAAATGACAAATCAAAATTTCTTATATATAATTAATAAAAAAAGATTTCAAATGGATCTTTTTTCTTTACTTTTCAATACTCAAAAGTTCTTTATACTTTCTTTACTTTTACTATAAGAGCTTTAAAGAAATCAAAAAAATATATTGATATATTAGAATAGAATCTCCAATCAAAAAAAATCAAGTTTGAAAATCTTGTTTTTTTCTTGAATTGTATAAAAAAAGATTTTTAACAATTACTTCTTTAAAATTCTTTCTTGGAATTTTTTTTAATTTTATTTCTTATAAATATATTTTTCTTATTAACTAAATATATTTGTTTTTTGAAAAAAATTTTTTTAACTCAAAAAATTAAAATTTTATATTAAAATTATTTATATATTTTTTTTTTTTTTTAAGTAGGTAAACATCATTTCTTTATTTTATTTGTATATGACAAGGTATACATCGTG